CCACATCTGCCCCCATCTCTTTTTGCTCCTTTTCCTCCATCTCTTTGGCTGGAAGGGGAGTGGAATGGGAGGGAAGGAGGCTTTTCCACCTCTCTGTCATGGTAGCCTGATTTTCTGCTACCCCTAGCATGTAACTGAGGGTGGGGATATATGTATGTGTGTATTGTTTAGGGCTGGGACGGAACCCAGGGCCTTGGGCAGGCTAGGGAAGTGCTCTACCACTGAGCCACATGCACAAGCCTGGGGTAGTTCTTCATGTAAACGTGGGAACCGCATCAGTCAAGGCAGTATTAGAGAAATAGAACCAGCGGAGCCCTCACCTGCGCATGTACCTGTGGGTGTGTACGTGTGTGCATGCCATACAAATCTACAGCAAGGCGTGGCCGATGGCATTGTGGAGACCAGCCTGGCAAGTTCAACACTCACAGGGTGGCCAGCGGCCGGAAACTAATGCTTGAATCCTGAGGGAGAATTTCTTCTTCCTCAGGGATCCTTCAGTGCTTGTTTTCAAGGCTTCATAATGATGGCCTAGGCCCCAGGCCTGTATCAAGGATTAGTAATCTCAAAGGATTGTGGAAGGCAGCTGTGGTAATCAAACACCTTCGCAGCAGCACCCAGCTTACTGTGTGAGGGCTCCCAGGGGACCAGAGCCTGCCCCAGCTGACACACAAAGCTGATCAGCTCAGCAATCAAAGGAATTGAGAAGAAAAATCTCTTAGTAGTTAAACGATGGCTTTCAAGACTAATGTCTGCTTAGGGAGGCAAAAATCCTATTGTGGGCATCAAAAGCTGACTGCTGTCCTCGTGCCATTCGTCCTGTGATCGCCTTGTCCCCCAGCTGTCTGGGCAAGTCTGTCGGGAATATTGCCTCTGAGAGGTTGTGGACAGAGTGCCGCGCACAGCACATGTAAATGAGAAAAACGCATGAATACATTTTTACTGGGACGTTCGCCCAAGGGAGGACATTATGTCTTCACAGTTACATATCATCCCAGGGAAGGGGAAACAGGCCAACGATGACAGCGGCGAGCTCCTGTTTGAAAAGAGCACTTCCAAAGGGTGTTGGTGGGGCTTGTCCCTGGGTGTGGTGGGCACAGCCCTCTGGAAAGGACGGGAAGGCCGTGCTGGAAGGCCAAAGCTAAGAAGAGGAGAGGAGCACAAGATGCAAGAGACAGAGCAAGGGGCAAACTGTGCTTGGCTCCAGGTGACCACAGGACAGATGGGCCTGTTGCTTAGAAGGAAAACTTCGGATGACCAGCTGCTAGAGGTGGGGTGGAGGACTCAGTTTCCACTTTGCTTCTCACTCGGGAAATAATCTCACAGTGCAAAGGGTCCAGCTAGCATCACGGGGGGAGGGGCATAGCCTTTTGAGAAAGAGAATAATGGGGGGGCTGGGCATCGCCTTCAGGTGCAGGCAGGCCCTGGTCACAGGCAGGTGGAGGAGGAAGTGGGAGGGAAGAGGTCTATGAGGCCATCTGTGCCACTCTCTAACTGAAGGGGGGCATCTCCCGCCTCAAACCAGGCCAAGCCCAGAGGAGGGGAGCTGACCCCTGGACTCCTTGGTGAAATTCCCAGGTGGGTTAACTTCGCCAGTGTGCCCAAATCCTGGGGAGATAGTGAGGACTCCCAGAGAGGAGTTGCCATGATCTGGGCTGCGCTGCAGGGTTTGCATGAGTTGAATCCTCTTTTTAAAATTTAACTCAGTGAAAAAGGACATTTACTTCATTTTTTGATGATCAGATTATTTAAGCAATATAACATTTTTGTTTTTTTATAAAGCAGTTCATCTCGGTATAATTCATACAACATAAAATTTACTCATTTAAAGTGTATAATTCACTGGTTTTTATTACATTCACAGATACACACAACCATCACCATGGCAAATTTTACAACATTTTTGTTACCACAAAATTTCCTGTGCCCTCTAGCCCTGGCACCCAAATGCACTTTTTATCCCTGTGTATTTGCCTGTTCTGGACTTTGAAATGAATGGAATCATATAATATGGCAAGTTTTGTGTCTGGCTTATTTCACTTGATGCAGTGTTCTTAAGATCTATCTGAGCAGTGACACCAGTAAGTATTTCCTTCCTTTTGAGGGCTGAGTAATATTCCACAGTGCATATAGACTACATTTTATTTCTGTAGCCACCCATCCACCAATGGACATTTGGGTTGTTTCCATTTTGGGGCTCTTGGGTAGACATTTGTTTTCATTCCTCTTGGCTATATACACAAGAGTGTCCTATGATGACTCTTTCATCTTTTAAGGAATATATTCTTTCATTCCTCACTAGCTGTATGAGATAATACTTTCCTTTTTTCCATTTGGCAGATGGGAAAACTGAGGCACAGAGAAGCTAATTGGTTTGTTGACCTATGCAAGACTCCACAGCTACCAAGTGGCAAAATCCTGATTTGAGCCCAAGGGCTCTGGCGCCAGAGCTCCAGTGCTTAATGGCTGCCCTGTGCTGCCCTTTGGCTCACAGACCGCACCCAGGTCCCATGAGGCCCTGGGGCAGCTGGGCCTTGGGCTTTGGCCCAAGTCCATGCTGCCGAGTCCTCCTACTGCTGCTTGGAGGCCAGCACGGTCAGTGTGCCAAGTCTGTTCTCTTTGTTCCCAGAGGAGCTTTGCAGCCACAGCCGTGGAGGAGGAGGGCAGGCCCCAGGCAGGCAGCACACAGGGCAGGCCGGGCTCTGCATGACATTTTGAAAGGGCCACACGTTTCCTTATTTGCTGCTGACCATGGCCCACATTAGTGAGCACAGAGAGACTGATTTATCAGACCCGAAGTACCGGGCTCTGGTGCAGAGATACCAGCACTGCATTTGCATGAAGGCTGTACTGCACGTGCCTCTCATCTGTGGTGCCCACAGGAGCTCAGTTTACAGGGAAGCAGCAGATGCTTTTGCAGCTGTGGCCTGAATCCCAGAAGGACAAGTAGGGATTCCTCCACCTGGGGCCAGATGTGGGGAGGGGGCGGGAAGAGAAGGAAAGAAATAGAGCTGGCTGGGTGCTGTGGAGGTGGCCTGGGGCCTTAGGCTGAAGCCAGGGAGCTGGAAAATCTGTGCCAAAGTCTGTCAGCCCTGTGAAAGCCCAGTCTGACCCCCTTTCAAACATAGCCAGCTACCTATTGGGTGCAGGAAGTCCCCATTTCAGGAATACACAGCAGCTGAACCTGAAGCAGGCACGCCCTTCACTGTACTCCAGGGTCAGCCTCTGGGAACGGCCTCAGGATGGCTTCTGATAAGCACCCTTGTCACAGGAGGCATGGACTCCTACAAAGATGTGGGCCAGGAGCCTGCCTAGCTTTCTCCTGTACCCCTGCCTAAGAAGAGGTGCCTGGTAATCTGCCTCCTCCTTTCACTTGGAGAGCAGGCAGCCACCCTGGGAAGGGTGCTGGGGCAGGAGGACAAGACAGCTTGGACTGCAGTGGGTCACAGCTGGTGGCTGTCTCCAGCTGTGTACATCCCTTTCAAGCCAAACTGAATCTTAACATATGTAAAGATCCCTAAACATATGTAAAGGTTCCTTTTAACATACGTAAAAGGGATGATGGAAAGATGTTATGTGTCATGGTTTCTATCTAGATGTCCCCTGAGAACCTCATGCAATCATAGGCAGGCCTTTTGGAAGGTGATAGCATTATGAGATCATGTCTTGCTGTTAGGAGGTGGGGGTCCTCGGGGGCGTGGCCTGGAAGGGTGCTATCCCCCCACTCCTCCCTTCTCTGTCTGCTTCTAGGCTTCTATTAGAACAGTTTTTCCCTACCAGGCCTTGGAGCCAGCTGAGCCAAAATAGACCTTTAAATTGGGGTGTCAGGTATTTTGTCCCAGTGAGGACGAAAGTAACTAAGACACAATACATGTTTAAATTTTAAAAATCTTAATATAGTAAAAAACATTGCCAAGAACAATGCGATATGTGGGCTCAAAGCAACGAGGGGTATTTTGAGTGGGATTCATAGCAATGTTTTTTTCACTGCAATAATTTTTTGTTGGCCAAACTATCAAATTAGATGAATACTTTTTGACACAAAAAGACATTCATATTGTTAGTGGAATAAACAGATTATAAAATAGTATACAATATGATCTCACTTGTTCCAATTATCCATAAGTATTTAAAGTACTACTAGAAAATGTAGCTGTGCAGGATTCACTGGTGCATGGGTTTTTTTTTTTTTTTTTTTTTTTTTTTTTTTTTTTTTTTTTACCATACTGTAGGTTGTGTCTTCTCCCTGTTGGTTGCTTGTTTTGCTGTGCAGAAACTTTTTCATTTGATATGATCTCATTTGTTGATTCTCAGAATGATTTTCTGTGCAACCAGGGTTCTGTTTAGAAAGTCCCTGCCTACATCTGTGACTTCAAGAGTTTTACCTATTTTGCCTCCCAGTAGGTTAAGGGTTTCTGGTTTAACATTTCATTCCTTGATCCATTTTGATTTTAGTTTAGTACATGGTTAAAAAATACATGGGTCTAGTTTTGATCTTTGGCATGTGGAGAGCCTTCAGTTTTCCAAACACTGTTTATTAAGGAGGCTGTCTTTCCTCCAGTGGGTGTTTTTAGCACCATAGTCAAAGATAAGGTAGCCGAGAGTGCATGCGGTTGTTTCTGCATCCTTTATTCTGTTCCACTGATCCTCATGTCTGTTTTTTATGCCAGTACCATGCTGTTTTTATCACAGTAGCTTTGTAGTATAACTTGAAGTCCAGGATTGTGCTGCTTCCTGCTTTATTCTTTTTATAGTTTATAGAGATTTCAGTCCATAATCTGCTGGCTGCAAGGCAGGGTGGCTCATAGCAGAGGGGCAATCATTCATGGCAACATAAGATACCAAAAACAGCAAGAGAGAGAGAGAGAGAGAGAGAGAGAGAGAGAGAGAGAGAGACCCAGAGGGAGTGAATATGTATGTGTATGTTATAGTTGGGGGTTGTGAGAAAATAATTAGAATCAGGACACAGAATTTATATTAATATTTTATGATGGTCACCAAGAGTTAACACAAGAATGTGCAGGAAATCTGTCCACAATACTAAAGACATATAATATTCATCCAAGGACCTGAATTGTCCAGCAATGTCCTTCATGAGTCCAGATGAAAACCTAGAGCCCATGACAATGCCTCCCACAAGTCCAGCTGGAGATCTAGAACCCACAAGAAGGTCTCATGCCCGTCTATTTTATGGATCTGCATTGGCAAGGCCCAAAGGTCAACAGTGGAACCTAGAAAGTCTATGCTAGTGGGGTGAAGGTAGGTTGGGGTAGGTTGAGGGTTCTACACTGGAGCTGAGAAGCAATGCTTAAAATAAGGACCAGGGCTGCCCTGAAAAGTACCACAGCCATCCTCAGCTACGTGGAGGTCCTGAGCTCTTCTGATGATGAGAACAGTTGAGTACATGCCAGATAGCCAGCATGACAAGTTTCTTCTGGAGATTAAACAGCACACATCTTCCCCTCCAGAGCCAGGAAGCCATGCTTGATGTGAGGACGAGAGCTCCCCCAAAGTGAACCACAGCCACTCTCACCAGCAAGGTCCCAAGCTCCTCCAATGATAATGGTCAAACTCACACTGGAGAAGCTAGTCATGACGAGCTCCTCCAGGAGAACTAGTGGCTCAAGCAGCAATACATAGGAAAACCCACAATACCTAGCTCTTCTTCTCCACATCTCTATTTACTCTGGCAACTTTCCTCAGGTGGGTTGTCTATAGTCAGCAGCATACTGATTTAATTCAGCTGGTGTTAAGTTGACCACCAGTTTCTAATCTATAACAGAGAGAGAGAGAGGGAGAAGAGGGAGAAGAGGGAGACATGGAGAGAAGAAGGGAGAGAAGGAGAGAGGAGAGAGAGGTAATAATTTTTAAAATGTAAACATTTATCATATTTTTGATTCTCCTACATTGACCAAATGTTTACAGCAATTTCCATCAAATAAAAATGACAGTGTGTCCTCCTTCACTTTATTTACCAGATCTGTGACATCTGGCTCTTCTCCAAAGTAAAAATTACCATGAAAGGTAAAAGTTTTGTTAAGGTTTTATAGAGTTTGAATCAATTTAGGGCGTCAAGACAACCATCCAATGCAAGTAAAGATGCTCATGAAAGAGAACTTCCCAACTGTGTCAGAAAGAGGCAAGAGGGTAGGATAAGTGTGGTGCTTATAAAGGAGACACTATGTTGAAGGGATTCATAGCACAGGAATTTTATAGTAATGAAATTTTAAATTTAAACAGTCAGTGCATTTTTGATCATGTCTAGTATTTGCTACTGAAAATGGAAAGACAGTGTTTAGGAGGCAGAAAAACACTTGCCTTATCACAATTACTTTACCTAAAAATACAAAGTAAATCACCCATATATATCCACATCCCTTTACCCCCACGACCTTTATACTTCGTGCTCTTAATACCACACCTCATCTCATTGTTGACTTTACAGCTGGAAGACACACATGTGATGTGCCAACCATGGCCAATCATCAAAAAGGAACAAAGCACATTAAATCCTGAGGCATCCAAAGTACATACATAACTTAAAATCCTAGATACCACAGGAGGGGGAGAGACTATCCGAGGAGAGACAAAGACAGCCTCTGTCTCGGAAACCTACCGGCTTGCCCGTGGCGATCCTCAGGTTACTAGCGGAAAGTTTTGGCACAGCCCCTGACATTGAGTCACGTCTGCTGCCTGATCTGTGGCGGAATTCTGCGTCGTGTTGCTACTTGCCAACCCTTCGTTGTTTTCAGCTCGCAGAAAGAATCTTTGCAATGCAATGGGGGTATTCACACCTGTATCTCATCTCCATCCTGTGAACAAAACAAACCTTTTTTCCTGGACCTCTGAATTTGTCTTTCCTGGACAAATGCCAAGTCCCATTTCTTCTACCTTTTGGGGATGAATCTTTCCTCTGTCCTGCTGTTGGAACAACTCTTCAGCAGAGGATAATGGGGCTGGTTAATAGCAAGGCTGATGATCATGTTTCCGAGACCCTTAACTGGCATTCCTGTGGAGGAGGGATGAAAAGGTGTTTTCTTCACTCTGGGGTTCAGAGAGCAATTTACAAAATGATAATAGGCAAAATTAAATTTTAGTTTACTCTGATAGCATAAACACTGAGTAAGGACTAAATGCTGAGCATTAACAACATCCAAGGGAGTAATGTCTTCTCTGGTGGCCTCTTTTATCAGGTCACCTCTTCACTGTCCAGATCTTGGGGGCATTTGACACTGGAAGGTCAAGTTTCTGAGCCCATCTCTCAACATTTCTTTGGGGGAAGCAGAGAGAGGGATCAAGGAAGGAGGAGGGAGAGAGAGAACCACCCTTCTAGGCTGCACTCCCAGTAACCCATTTCCTCTAACCAGGCTCCACCTCCAACATCACATTTAGCTGTAAACCCATCAGTGAACTCATCCTCTTGGGTATCACAGCTCCATGATCCAGTCACCGTCCCAAAATCCCACCTATAAGCACATGAATCTCTGGGGAGACATCTAGATACAAGTTACAAGAAGCAACCGGTTACCTCTGAACTACATCTCCAGCTCTGTGTTTCTTCTGTTAACTGATTGTTCAAGTCCTTTTCAATTTCCTCCTCACTGAACAGTTCATCTTTGTCTTACTGATTTGAAAGAGCTCTACTTTTTTAAACTGTAGCAGAGAATAAATGCTCATCAAAGTAGCCATTTAGCTGGGAAGATGAAAATGGAAACAATTTAAATCAGAACAATTTTGAAAATATTGAGAATACAGGGATATTTCAGGTGAACAAAACAGCTATTCAGGTGACCATTTTCTGCACATGGTTGTCACACAGATGAATGAAGCCCACTGTGTCTTGTAGTTTCTTGTATTTAGTGGCTTTTGTGTCCCCTCCACCCCGTTTTGGGCTAACCTACGCTGGTTTCTGGAAAAGTAGTCATTGGAAAATTGAACACCATTCCTTTTTATCCTCTCAAATGCAAACTTGGTCTGTTTTCTTCCCATTGAGATGGCTGGATTTGTACTTTAAAAGCACCTCTGTAACTGAGTACATATCTGTAATCCTAGCTGCTTGGAAGGCTGAGGCAGTGTTACAGTCAGGGGTTATGAAGGGAACAATTAGAATCAGGACACAGAATTTATATTATTTTATGATGGTCACCCAGAGTTTAACATAAGAAAGTACAGGAAATCTGTCTGCAACACTAACGACTCAGAATACTCAGCCAAAGGCCTGAATCCCACAGCAATGTTCTACATGAGTCCAGATGAAGACTTAGAGCCCATAAAAGTGCCTCCCACGAGTCCAGCTGGAGGTCTAGAGCCCACAAGAAGGACTCATGCCAGTCTGTTTTATGGATCTGCACTGGGAAGGCCCAAAGGTCAGTGGTGGAAGCCAGAAAGTCTATGCCAGTGGGGTGAAGGAGCTGTGCTGGTGGGTTGAGGCTTCTACACTGGAATGGAGAAGTGACATTCAAAATAAGAACCAGGGCTGCCCTGAAAAGCACCACAGCCATCTTCAGTGACATGGAGGTCCCAAGTGCCTCTGATGATAAGAACAGCTGATTACATGCCAGAAAGCCAGCATGATGAGGTTCTCCTGGAGATTAAATGGCACGCATCTTCCCCTCTGGATCCAGGAATCAATGCTTGATGTAAGGACCAGAGTTCCCCCAAAGTGAACCACAGCCACTCTCACCAACAAGGTCCTGAGCTCCTCTCATGACAATGATCCAACTCACACTGGGGAAGCTAGTCATGACGAGCTCCTCCAGGAGAACCAGTGCCTCAAACAACAACATTTAGAGAAGCCCACAACGCCCTGCTCTTCTCCTCATCTCTATTTATGCTGAGAACTTTCCTCAGCTGGGCCATCTATGCTCCGCACCATGCTGATTTAATTCAGCTGGTGTTAAGTTGACCATCAGTGTTGAATCCTTAACAGGCAGGATAATCACAAGTTCAAGATTAGCCTGGTTAATTTGACAAGATCCTGTCTCAAAATAAAATTTAAAGAAGACCCGAGGGTGCGGCTCAGTGATAGAATGCACACTTATCACGCACCAACCAGCTCCATATCTAATCTCTAGGGTTGAAAAAAAGAAGCAAAGGAAAAAGCACCTCTATATTTTAAAAAAAATTATCTTCTCTCAATGTTTTATTGTGCAAATTTCAAATATTCAGAAACGTATGAAGACATTAACAGTGGATCCCCACAGAGGCACCATTTAAGAGTCCACATGCCTTCTCAGATATCCCACAAACTCTTCTGCCCATCTATCCACCCATCAATCATCTTGGTTTATTTTATGGGCTCCAAAGTAAGTGGCAAACTTCAGCATAAATAGCCCCTGAGCATCCCAGTAGGTGACTGATGTTTGTTTATGATTCTTCTATTGTGGGTAAAATTTACTTCCAGATCTTGCAAGAGATGTTCTCTGAGTTTTGGCAAATCCATCAAGGCTTAGAATCCTTTATCCCTGCAGACGTTCCTTTATGTCCCTCTGCAGCCAATCCTCACCCCTGCCCAGTGGGTCCTAGAAATTGCTTCTTACCATGAATTACTTTCACCCATTTTAGCACTTTATGTAAATGGCTCTGCACAGTATATGCACTCTGGTGTCTGGCTTATTTCTCTGAGTATAATGCATTTGAAATTTGTCCATGTCCTAGCCAGGATCAGTAGCTCATTTCTTTTCAGTGCTGAAGAGTTTCACTGTATTGATGAGCAGCACTGCACGGTATGACTACTCCAGAGCTTGTTTATCCATTCTTTTATTGATAGACACCTGGGCTGTCTGCGGTTTGGGGCTATTATGCACCAAATTGCTATGGAAGACTTGTATTCATCTTTTGTGTAGACAATCTAACTGCTTTTATTTCTAAGAATTAGGAAAATTAGCCTTTACATGTCATGTGTTGCATTTTTTCCCGCTGATTTTCTCATTCATCTTTTGATTTTACGGTGTTTTTCTTTGTGTGAGTTTTTAAAATTCTATGTGGGCAATTTCATCAGTCTCTTCCTGAATGGCTTCTGGGTTTCATGTCATGCTTGGTGAAGTCTGATCTACCCTGGTACTATAAAAATATCCAGCCTTGTTTTCCTACAGTGCTTTTATGTGTTATTTTTCCCATCCCATTGTTTGACTCATCTGCATTTAGCTTGATGTCAGGAGTGTGGCAGAGGGTTCAGATTTGTTGTTCAAACAGCTCTTCTGTTTTCCCAGCACAGATCCTTCTCATACCACCATCCCCATGCGTGCTTCTACCCATTTCCTATCCACATAAGCACTGATGTGACCCACAGTCGCCCTGGGCAATCTTGGCAGCCTTCAGGGTCCTGTGTGGTCTGGACCTGTGTGGCCTGCACTCTGCATCACCCCTCTCTTGCTCCCTGTCCTGAGGCCCACAGGCCCTGCCACTGGCCTCCTTCCCATCCCTCCTGGCATTCCCACTTGTGGCTCCCTCTGCCTGGAACACTTCAGCCCTGGTTCTCCCCATGGCTGGCTGCTGCTCAGCCTTCCATGTCAGCTCAAATGTCCTGGGGACCCCATGTAGACTTGATCACTCTGTACGTCTCACTGGCCCCACAAATGTGTCTATCCATCTCTTCTACCTCCAAGCCTTTGGCGTTTCCTTCATAGACTTTAACACAGATTATTACTGTTCTATTTTTAATGTGCTCACATCACCTGCATCCTTTGGATAAGTAGTTCTAAATGTCAGCTTGGATAGGCACTATTGAGCAGTTCATCAATCACACCCTAGCCTGTTGCTGTGAAGGTATTTTTGTGGCTGTGGTTAACATGTACAACCAGTTGAATTTAACTAAAGGAGGTTATGCTAGAGAATGGGAGCGGACCTCAGCCAGTTAGTTCAAAGGCACCAAGACCAGATCGGAGGTTTCAGAGAGGAAGGAGAAATTCCACCTGTGCCCTGCACATCAGCTCCTCCCTGAGAACTCCAGCTGTCCCGCCTTGTGCTCTGTCCTGTGGACTTTGGACTTGCCTAGGCAGTCTCCCTCTTTCCATTACATCTGAAGCGTGATGGAAATGTACAGCGGATTGTTAAAGGTCGTAGGTCTGTTAGAGTAAAAGACACACTGCGGTGAATTCCCCTCCGAATCTTCCCTCTCCCTTTGAATACACTTACCCCACCATCCCTGGCGCTTTCTGCAGGCGTTCTGCAGGCTCTCTACCATGAGAGTATTTATGAGGTGTGATTAAGAAATTCAGTGAGTGCTGCTGCCAAGGGCCACCCAGCAGAAAGGCAGGCTCCTGAAATCTTTACAGTGTGCGCGGCCGTCCACCTTATTCACCCACCTTGGCACCTTTCAAATTCTAACTCTTCTCCAAAATCAAAATGACCATGAAAGGTCAACGCTTTGAATCAATTCGGGATATTGAGGCAGCTATGACAGTGCAAGTAAAGACATTCATGAAAGAGGACTTCCAGAAGTGCTTCAGAAAGTGGCAAGGATGAATGGGACAAAATTCAAATTCAATTCAAAGTGAAGGGAACACACTGAGGGGAATTAATGGCAGTGTATCTCTTACTGTAATGTTTTTAGAAAAATAATTGAACACAGCTCATATGTCTTCTATTGGCTCTGTTTGGTATAATCCTGACAGGTGCACACAGTATCCCAGTTGACTCTGTGAGGTTGGAGATCATCTCTGTGCACTGCCCACGCCTGGCACATGCGTGCTGGCTAAATCACAGAGTGATCTCACTCTAGGGAGGCCTACTGTACATGTGTCTTTGGGTATACAGGTCCTTGGATTTTCTGGTTTTAGGGCAAGAGAGATGACAAGTTACCCACTGATCTTGGCCCCAGGGTATCGAGGGACCTGATCCTGTGGTATGGGAGCAGGGAGACTCTGAGATGTCATATACCTTCGTGGGGGCTTCTGCATTTACCCTGGGGTCACCCTCAGGGCTAGGAAGGGGGACTATGGGATAGGCTGTGGAGGGATACCTCCCCCTTCAGCCACTGGGATCCTGCCTGCTTCTCCCATGCCGAGGCCTTCCGGCCCCCAGTGGTAGCTCCTAAGAAGACATGGGGAACTCAGTGATTTCTGCCCCACACTCCTCTCAGAGATGAACTTGCAGCCAGGTTGGGGCCATGTGGGACTCTGCGCCAGGCTGTCGTCAAAGGCAGGATGATAGTGGGATCTTTTGCAGAGATTATCCAGCAATCTTCAAGCTCCTCCACTTTTCTCCAGGAGGTTTAGAGGACTTCAGCTCAATGTGGGACCCAGGTCAGCAGCATTACCTTGAGAAGTGAAAGTTAGGACCCTGACTAGATGTACCGTACTAGTCTCGGCTAAGCTATCCAGATGCTGGGATGCCGGGACGCAAGGACATGGTGAGGCTGGGCTGCTAGGATGGGGGGATGTTGGGATACTGGGATGCTGGAGTATAAAGATGTATTAATGCAGGGATTCTGGGCTCCTACACTGCTTGGAGACTGAGATGCTTGGGGTGCTGGAGATGCTGGAATTCTAGGATTCTGGGGATGCACTGATGCTGGGATGCAGGGATTCAGGGATGTGGTGATGCTGGGAGACTGAGATGCTTGTGTTCCTGGAGACACTGGGATACTGGGATGCTGAGAATGTGCTGGTGCTTCGGTGTAGGGATGCAGTGGTGGGGTGAAACTGGAATGCTGGGGATGCTGGGATGCTGTGAGGCTGGGATGCAGGGATGTGTTGATGCTGGATGCTGAGAAAGCTGGGATCCCAGGAGGTGGAGACACTAGAAGATTGGGATGCTAGGATGCTGGGATGCAGGCTCCGTTTGCTTGGCAAGGAGAAGAAGCCAAAAGACGGGGAGAGGAAGCCCTAGTCCAGTGATAGGTAAACACGAGAGGAGCAAAGTCTCTTGGAGAGAGGTAGGAACAGGGAGTTCCAGGCTGCAGGCCAGAAGGGAAGAAGGGCGCTAGGGCGCTGTGAGCCTCTGGCATGTTTCTGTGGAAGGATCAGACCTGCTGACACACTCCCACTGGGTTCAGGGCTAGGACAAAGCTGGGGTTTTGACCAGAGCACTTGGAAAGGGGAGTCTGAAGCTGCAGCAGATCGCCTTAGGTTGGGAGTGATGGGGAAGGAGAGGCAGGGCATGGCCTCTCTTTGAAAAGGGCAGCAGAAAGCTGGGGTTGGCACTGGATGGCTGCCCCTGGGGGAATCCAGCACAGGAGTGGCAGAGGGTGCAGGAGAGAGGGGGACAGCCAGGACAGCCGTCAACTGGGGGGAGGACAGACCACTGAGATAGGAGGGCAAGCAGTGCAGGGGGAAGTAGGGGGACAGTTGAGGGTCAGGTGGCAGACAGTGTCCAGGGACCCTGTCTGTGCTGTGGAACCTACTGGCTCAGCCTGGAGGTTAGGCCTTCTGGGGATGGAAGGGAAAAGCAACTCAGCAGGCTCGGCTCTGCTTAGTATTTTTCCTGTCTCCGAGGATGACAAGAGTTATGACCCAAGAGGCTCTGAAGTGGGCTGAGGAAGCCGTGGCAGGGCTTTGATAGAACATGGACCTCAGCTGGGTCCCAGCTCCTTGCCTGTCAGGTTCTGAGCAACAGATGCTGTGCAGGTGGCCAAGCACAGGGCAGGGGAAGGGTAGCAGGCCCCCCAGGGCCCAACTGCTGCTGCCACTAGACGCCTTGAACAAGAGGCCCCCTGTACCTGGGCCCCAGAGCTCCAATATGGCCCTGAAGGAAAGCTGTGGCCTGCCTAAGGCCAGGCATGGATGACCAGTTGAAGGGCAGAGAGTCAGTACGGATAGGAAATAGCAGCTGGTTGAGGGACAACTGTGGGACAGTCCATGGCCCAATGCTTAGCAGGAAGTGGGAGGGGCCTGTGCAAGTGGGAGCCTGAGAGCCAATGCTTTGGTGTGACAGCTGGTCCCATGATGCTTTGGGCCAAGGGAATGGGAAGGCTGCTTGCACCCTGGGGATCTTTGCCCTTTATCCCAGCTATTGAGAGTGCTGGGTGTGGGCTTCTTTGGGGGAGACATTTGAGGCTCTTCCTCGACACAACAGGCCCATTTTCATCACATCTCGTCCCGACTGTTGCTCCAATCATACTGTGACAGCACAGGTATGTGTGGGTCCCAAATAACTTCCTACCCATCCTTGGGGAGATATGGGGTTATCTGTAAATGCCTACTACCTGTTGGCCAGGTCATGGCCACCTCATAGAAGCACAAGTGCCAGCCTTTTTGTTAGGGTCCCTTGGGAGGAAGCCTAAGTCCATGAAGCTCCGTAGAAGATAGTTTCTTGTACCAATAGTTAGAGGTGGCCCAAGAGTGAGACACACAGGAGTCTGTGTTGTTTCTGCAACTATCTGGACTGGAACTGGGCCACTCACTATGTCCACACAGTGAGAGGTGAGAGGAGGGAAGATGGGGCTGGCTGGGCCTCTGGGACCGCTAGGATTGGGTAGCAGCTGGCCAGGGTCTGAAGGAGCTGGATCTTCAAGGAGTGGGGCTCCTAAGGAGGGGCGGGACAAACCCGATAACACCTCTGCTTCCGCTGGCATCCTGTACCGGAGGGCAAGCCACTTTGACCTTCTGACTGTACCCCTGCACCCTGGGTTCGCCTGGATCCACCAATGAGAATGAGCAGGGGTGAGTTTAGCACAGGCTTGGGCTGGAGGCAGGACGAAGATGAGAAGACCCTTTTTTCCATACCTTGCCTGGTACACAACTGCCTGGTGCTCATCCAGGATGTTGTGGCTGCCCTTGTGAAGTGCGGGTAGTTGTCACCCACCTCAGATCACCCCTTACCCCTTTTGCCCCTTCCATGGGAAGGATGGGAGCTCGTTGTGGAGCCCAGACGGTCAGGCTTTTGCCACTAGTCACAGTTCCTTGTCTGCATGATGTCTTGTCATTTCTGGGGACCCATCTGGAAAGAAAGTTGACCAAGTAACAAACTCAATTCTGTCCCTGTTTAAGGGTGGAAGGGTCTGGCTAAAGACTGGCAAGTGTGATCTTTCTGAGCAAGTCCCCACCCTGGAGTGGAATTACCTTTGGGGCTGCCCATTCCCTCTGTAAACTGAGGGCTGGGCTCAAAAATAACACACTTCTGTGCACTGGTGGTGAGTTACTGCGGCACATGCCACCCAGCTTGTCATCCCTCTGGCCCCGGTGGCTGCAACGTTGTTTCCCAAGACCTCACGCAGCCTTGGAACAAAGCAGAGACACCAGCATGCTTAGCTGGTGTGGCTTCGTAGGTGCTGAATGCTCCCTGGGAAAATAAAAACATAGAGGCATTTTTCTCCTGGCTGTTTATTAACAGAACAAAGAAAAAAAAAAAACGCACTGGCTCAAAACAGATGCCAGATTTCAAAGGTCGAGGCAAAATACGAGGTGGCAATTAAAATATGAATACACAAAGTCTGGACACAGAAAAGTTTACAGGACAGTGGCTGTGGGTTTTCTATAACAGACACTTAAATATACATAACAATAATTGCAGATAGAAACCATCAAAGACAAACTCCAAATCAACTGTTAATGTTTATAGACTTCCTCCCAAACCACAGAGCCTTCCATCAAGTCTAGCAAGAGATTCGAAAGTGGGACAGCTCACCTTCCCGCTGCCTTGGGCTTGCTTCTCACCATCTGAATGACACAAGGACAGGACAGCTCATATGCCACTCAGCTCCCCACCTTCTCTGCATTGCTCCCAAATCTAATGTACATTCCTCAGCCTTGTGGCGGTGTCTCTCTCGAGGGAACACTGACAAGAAGTTACTACTGCTGCAGGCGCTCACTAGGAAAGAGCTCACTTGCGGAGACTGCAAGGTTTGCGAAAGCGCTTAGGAGTCACACCAGGCATAGGACTTGGAGTGCAAATGGAAATCTATGACCAAGCGGTTTTCTATTTGGCGTGTGTCAGTTTGCACAACACGTCTTGGTCACAGCCACATCTCTCAGGGCATCAAAACCGTAGAGAGCATCAAAACCACAGCGAGACTCAGCCACCTGGCTTCACAATGTATCACTGGGGTGGACAGCACAACCTGCATATTTGTAACAATGTAGAATAAACACAAAACAAAGCAGAATAAACACAACTCTACTGAAACAAAAGCCGCCGCTTTATTTACAAAGTCACAAAACCAAGTATAAATACTTCTGTCATTAATGTTTAGGAAAACCATTTACAAAATTTTCAAATATGTACAAGTAGCTTGAAAAATCACCAGCTTTCCATCCATCTTGTCTCAGGTCCAGAGGGGGACGAGCAGGACGATACCACTCAGATGGCGATGGAGACCAAGTGTGGCAGGCTGGGGCTGGGTGGGAATTTGCTGCGGCTTCAGGTCTCCCCCTTAGAGGGCTGTCAGCATGGGGCTTTCTAGGGTACCAGGCTCTGCTTTAAAGCCCCTTGGCACCCTGGGGGAGACAGCCAGCATTCTGGGCAGCAGCATGCTGATCCAGAATGTCATCAATCAGCCTCAGGTTACATACCCAGTCTTCATCCGGGCCCTCACTGGAGCCTCTCAAGAGAGCTTCAATGAAATCCACCTCACTGTAGTCAAATGGTGAAATCAGACCATTTAGTGGCTGCTGGGGTAAGAAGTTGCTGGATGGCAACCCAGGGGGCTTCCCCATTCTGTTAAAGGGACCCAGGGACTGGCTGGTAGTCATGGCTGAGGTGGTGGCGGAGGCAGCAGCAGCAGCCACATAGCTTGGTGGCTCAATGCCATGGATGGGACTCAATGGAGCGAAGCTGGCCATCCCCTGCTGCAGGGACTTGGTGCTCAGCACGGGCACAGGGCCTTGCACTGGGCTCTGCCGGAGGCTCTGGTTGCTCAGCAGGCTCAAACTGGGGTTGGCCAGGGCATCACTGCCCCCCTTCTGGACAGGCCTGCTTCCTGGTGTCACATGCCTGGGAGGTACAACTGCCAGCTGAGATGGAAGCGCCCGGGCCACTGGGGGCACTTTCATGGGTGCCTTGGCAAAGACAGAGTTGCTATCAAAATGCTGCTGAATGCTGTTATCTACTTGGCTGGGGGATGGTTCCCTTGAAACTGCTGTGGTCACAGCTGCCGCTGCTGCCGCCACCGCCCATGTGGCATTGTTGAACACAGTGGGCATTTTTGGCATACTGGGCTGTCTGAGCCGGTGGGGACTCAGGGGCTGGCTGCCCAGTGGGCTGGGACAGAACCTGGGGAGGGGCACTCCTGGGGGGTTGGCCTTGGCACTCTGTGGATGCTGGCAGACAGAATCAAGACTGCCTGGGGGGTTCTGGCAGGAGGACATGGGGAACGGGGAGCCGGTGCTCAGTGTTCCCTGCTGCTTCCGTAGAGTTGGTGAGATCATGCCCATGCCCTCGCAGCTCTGGCACCTGGGGGGTGGGATTGCTCCTGGGTTCAGATTGTTCAGAAGGAGCCCAGGTCTGGGCGGCATCATGTGCTGGCTGGAGGAGGGACTTGCCTTGGTCTGGCTACACTTGGTGACTTGTTCTTGGACGGCTACAGGAAGAGAAGTGTGGGGGTTAGTTTTCAAATGCAATTCTAGGTTTGGGTTTTGGCCACTGGACAGGAGCACCGCTGTCCCCCACTCCCTTCGAACTCATCTGCACTGCAGTTCCACTGGGAAGCCCTCCCAGACCTCCCAGGGCTGTGCTTAGCACCCTTCCCAAAGCGGGCCTTGCTGGGCTGGAGCCTGGGGGCTTTGTCTACCTCCTTGGGAACATTGGAGGCTCTATGAGGCCAAGGTTGTGCCTGCCCTTATAATTGGGGACTGCATGTGGGGCCTGCACTGAATAGTTTTTGGAAGAAAGGAAGAAAGGAAAGAGGAAGGGAGTGAAGGAAAAAGGAGAGAAGGGATGAAAGAAGGGAGGGGGTGCTGGCTTGGGGAAGATGGCTCCGCAGCTCAGACCAGAGAGTCCTGGCTGGCCTCGGTTCTCCCCCAGCAAATGTGGCGGTGAGAGGGAGTAAGGACAGTGTTCAGTTCCCCGCCGTGCTCCGCACAGCCTAGACAGCCTCGGAGCCTGGAGGTGGGCTCCCCTGCTTGTCATGCTGAGCTGCTCTGTGCCTACAGCCCTAGCTTGTCTGACCTGCCACTCTGGGCTGCCACGTGGGGCACAAACCCAGCTGGTATCGGGCCCAAAGGGATGGGGTGTGCAGGTGGCTTTGGGCTAGAACCCATCTGAGGGCAAGTGGACAAGTGTAGAGCATTCCATGAGGGTCCTTGGTCTGCTGCAGTGTCACCCCAGTGGTTTGTAAGGAGTGCTTAACTCAGTCCTCCCTTGGTAACCTGCAACTCCACGAAGCAGGGATCACGTCCAGCGATCCCTGATACAGCCAAGTGCTGTATCCCTGTCCGGTAAATGCACGCTACACTCATAGCTGCCCAGTAAGATGAGGGCCCTGGGAGTTCTAAGGTGCAGCATCCCCAGCCCTCTCTCTTCCGCACGCCTGCCACATAGCCCTGACACCCACAGGAAGTGGGTCCCTCCGTCCATGTTTGAGGAAGGGAAAGATCAGAATCCCGGGGTGCCACAGCCCCAGCTCAATCTGCTGTACACCTCAAGTCCCTGTCCCTCTCCTGTTAACTAGAAGGGACCTGGCTCCACTTAATCAATCTCTTGAACTAGAGGTTTTGGGAAGCATTAAATCCAGGTCTCCAATTGGGATCCTGCTTTTTAGAGGTGGTGGGGAGTTGAACTCATTTCACTGGGAGAAACCTGACCTTTTGGATCTCACTTCTGCATAGCACTTCTGAGACCTGGCCAGGAACTGCTCATTCAGAGAGGACCCCCCCTCCCAGTATGCACCCCCTTGCTCACCCCTGCGCAATGGAGCATTGACCTTAACTGCTTACCTTGAAATTGACTCATCTGCTGGGCCACATACGCACTTTGCTGTTTAGGGGTCATTGCCGTAAGACCTGATTTCTGTTTCTCTTGCTAAACACAAGATAAAAACACACATTAGATTGCAGTTACCCAGAAATATTAGCCTTGGGATCACTGTGCGGGGACCCAGGACTCGGCTTTAGGGTAGCAAAAGCATGAGTGAACACACCAACACACACTCGCATGCATGCTCCACCCTCCCGAGCAAAACTCCACAGGGAGAAAGAAAAGTCAGGGCTCTGCACCTGGGTTAAAAACACAACGGCTGCAGCATAGGATGGAACAGAGCTTAAGAGCAAGAGCACAGAGAGAAGGACTGAGGGGTCTGGATGGCCGTCCGCACGCTCAGGATGGGTCAGCAGTGAGATGTGCTCACCAAAATAACACACGTAACATTAGGCTGCATTAATAGAAGCAGAGTATGTAGGCGGGAGGTGACAGTCCTGTGCTACTCTGCCTTGGCCAGACTGTGCCCACAGTGCCAACAGGAATCTGGGCATGCCAGTCTCAGGGAGACCCAGACAAACTGGCTGTAACCAGAGCATGGTATGAGACGGCTTGGGTGGGTGAGCCGAGCCGGGGTGGGTGGGGGGAAGAGATTTTGGGCTTCTTGGTGGGGCCGTTGTGGGGGGAGTGGCCACGGCTTGTTCTGGGTGGTCTTAGTGTGGACTGCTGTGTGATCGCACGGTCAGATGGAAACTCTACCCGACACCCGGAGTCGCCAGACATCACTGCCAACTTCCTTTCTCCTGACTGGTGGTGGCGGACAGATGGGAGGGGCTTCCTGTCTCTCTCTGGCTGGAAGCTGGCTGGGTAGGCAGGGGGAGGAACAGCGCCGCAGGGCCGCAGTCCTGGACCAGCCCAAGGGGTCACGAGGCCAGGAGAGAATTAGGAGACCCCAAGAGAGAAGGCAGAACTTTTCCCTAGGCCTGCAGCTGGTAGTGACGGGGGCGCAGCTCCGACCGGCAGTCGGGCTCAGCCTCTCTGGCTACCTGGCTGCCATCTCTGTGTCCTTCTGGAGCAGCCTGCCTGCTAGTGTGTAGAGCACCCAGGCAGCTGTCAGGGAACACATGCCCTCAGTCCTCTTTCTGCTCCCCTGGCCAGAAGACTTGACCCTACAATCAGAGCAGCCAGGGTTGCAGGCAGGCATCTTCTCTGCCCCCTCGGGGCTGGTGCAGCAGGGCTGGGTGGAGGGCCGGCGCTTGGGAGTGTGCCTGGCCCTCAGGCCTGGCAGCAGTTCCTGGCTGGGTTCCTGTCAAGGCAGAGAGGACAAACACAGGGAACCGGGAGACTACACCAGACTGTGTTCTGCTTCTGTGGCCCACCCTTGGGCTGCTTCCTGTCCCAGCTCTTGCTGTTGCCCTGGGACTGCGGGCTGCTGCTGGGCTGTGCTGGGGTGTGGGGGCAGGAGCTGCTTCTCAGCTGACCCCTGGGGCTCCTGTCTTCTGGCCGGAGCACCCGGAAGTTGGTGGAGCGGGGAAGGAAGCTGGTGGGGGGAGTTGGAGGGGAGGTACCGGGGCTCACTGTTCTGAGCACTTCACACCTGTTATTTCCTGTCATCTGGAAATGGGGACATGAAGGGGCAGGGTAGTCACATGACCGCTCCAGATCACATCATTCAGATCTGCCCAAGGCTTGGGGGTGTGTGACCATTTCACTTCAGTTCTTCCCCGTTACCCTTCTACCAGCGTGAGGCCACTGGAATAGAGCCACAGTCCCCAGCTCATAGGTGAGTGGCGTCTGAAGCTCAGACAGGTTAAGCGACTTGCCCAGAGCCCATGGCTAGGAAATGGAATGCCGCTAACAGCACACCTCTTCCTTTGGCCTCTCCAGCCGGCCACCTCTGGAACTGGCTCCAATGCGGCCACCTAGGTCCACACAATGCCTAGTCCCATCCAGGCCAGTTGCAGGGTAGCTTCCCCAAGCCCTGCAGTTGGAGGAGGAGCGAGAGCTGGGGAGGTGGAGGCCAAAGGGTGTGACCAGAGAAAAAACTGGGAGGGCAGACAAGTGCAAAGGGAAGGATGTACAGAGAAAGTCCACCCAGGGCCAGTGGAAAACAAAAGGAAAAGCCGGCTGGGGCTGGGGCTGGACTCAGAAGGTGGAGCCCGGGTACTGCCTGCCAGATGAAAGAGAGCTTGCACCCCGTCTGGAGCTTTGGGGACAAATGGGGCGCTACAGTCTGTACCCACAGAAGCGCAAATACTGGAGGAGTGTCCAGAGTAGCTGGAAATTTGGCCGGTGGCGACATCATTACAGAGACTGCCAAGCCCAGACAGTGCCCTGCCCAGCCCATGGTGCTGGTGGCCAGCTTGGTAGACACAGCAAGAGGGGTCCTCCATGGGCTCTCTGTCCCACTGGCGTGCCCAGGACCCGGCCAGTCCTCTGCTCCCACCCTGTCCCGGTGTCCTGGGCATTCTCCCCAGCTCTCCCTCGGAGGCCACTTCCTTTGTTTTGCAGACGGAGCGCCCATCCTTTGTTCTGAATCAATGTGCTCCAAAGATAAGCTCCAAGAAAACAGTTGTTGCCTTTTGACACTGACAATTAGAATCGTTGGACAATGGAGAAAACAGGAAATGACAAATGGTTTCAGTGACCAGGAGGAAACAGGGGCTGAAAATTGCTGCTTAGTGTCAGGACACTCGATTTCTGCTCTTGTAAAGGATGGCCCAGGTCATGTGGCTTTTTATAAGAACCAGAGGAGGTCATGAAATGACTAGCACCAGGCAAATGTCATGGTGCCCGCAACACCAACAGGCAGCACTGCTCTGTGGGTCTTGTGTGAGCCCAAGGGTTCTTCTTTCAGGGTGGCCACCCTGGCAAGCCTAGGGTTGGGGCCAGCAGGAAGTCTAAGGCCTGGCTCCTCCTCTATCCCACCCTTTCCCAGCCCCACTGGGCCAAGGGGCTGGAGTCGCAGACAGGTCCTGGGCTGCTGTTCTTGGAGGCTCACAGAAGTGCTCTTGCCTCGCCACTTGTGCGCCAAACAGGAAAGGGATGAAAGGCCTGGCCCAAGCCCTGCTGCCGCCTGCTGGCTCCACGGAGGCCAGGGCAGGCGCTGCATCTGCCTCCACCTTAGTCACCAAGGGGTCATGCTCCTGTCCCCCCGCCCCCAGTGCAACCACCTAGATGCTTCCCTCTCACTGCTGCAGAGAAAATAATCTCATTACCAATTCAACCACTTAATCAGACAAAGGGACTCTCCAGCTGGGCAAAGCCAGAAGGCAGGTGATGAGCAGGAATTGGACACATGCCCACAGAATTTTCCTGGGTTTCAACCTGATTCCAACTGAAGTTACTCACCCTGTGGTCCCCTACAGGGAGGCATTTGGGCTTGGCATGTGGAGGGATGGAGGGAGGCAGGGAGAGAGGTAGGAGAGACAGGAGTGGGAGGGGAGAGAGAGAGAGAGAGAGAGAGAGAGAGAGAGAGAGAGAGAGAGAGAAGAGGAGGAAGGGGAGCAAGGGGAGGACAGGAGAGACAGACAAATTCTACCATCAGGGAGCTCCCACCTACTCTGCCAGCAGACATAGCCCTTTGAGTGTCCCCACATGGAGTCAGCCTGCCACGCAGCAGAATGCTCTCAGCTCTCTGTCCCAAAGGCCAGTGAGCACTGGGGCGGGTTGCTTACTACTCTGCAGAAAAAAGCACCTTCTCTGGTGGATTTTTGAAAGCCAGAATTCAGAACAACTCACTCACCCTTCTGACTTCCTTTGAAATGCCAGGAGGATGGCACAGTATGTGGGGACTACCATGTCATTGAAATCTGAATTCTGGGGACTCCCATACCCATGTGGCTGGAGATACCTGATGCCCATAGGGTCTGGCCAGCTGGGGGTGCAATTTAGACACCCCTAGCAGTTTGACAGGATCTTTGGAAAACAGCAAGGGGCTTCTGTTAATGAATGGTGGGTAAGTTTCAATTGTTTCCTGGATTCCTCCTTGGAATCTAGACCAGAGCCCATGACTCAGTTTCTCCAGAATACCTGTGGGGGAGGCTGAAGCAGAGGGTAAGTCTCCTCCCTGTGGATTGCTGGGACCACAATCTAGGATAGACCACTTGACACTTGCCCTTATGCATGGCCTTGGCTCAATGCCTTCCCCTACTCAAAGTGCTACCACAGGGGCACAGGCCTCAGTGACCCTGAAGCCCCTGAACCTGCCTGCCCAAGGACATAGTGGGAAGACAGGGCTTACAGGACAGCTCAGCCAGTCCCTCTGTCAGTCATTGACAAACACTTATTATGGGTCTATTATGGGCCAGGCTCTGTCCTTGGCACGGGGCTGTCCCTTCAATAGGCAGGGAGACCAGGCAAGGTAGATTGTGGTCTAACACAACATGGCAGGGGGAATGGAAGGCAAGTGGGCAGGCACTGGCAGAACCCAAGGTCAGGTATGGGATCCTGAGGGCCACCTGGAACCCCAAGCCATTCGCTAAGTTAGACAAACCTGGGCCAGTGTCTCCAGCTGTCACTGGGGCTTTACAAATTAAATGCCATCAAAAACCAGTGAGTGGCATGGGTGTGGTCATCCTTGTCACTCTGCATTTGCTGTCTTTCCATTTGACCTATGACTATGTAAACTATTTCACCCAGACTCCGTCTCGGTGGCTTCAGGGCTGGCCAGCACCAGCAGGGCTTGGTCTAAATGCTGAGAGTGATCCCTGGGCAGAGGGAACAAAGGTCCCTCTTCTTCCCCTGTGGTGCCCACACCCTGTCTCCCTCTGACTCACAGGCTGTGGTGACAAGGTGACTACCTGACCTGTCCCCTGAGCCCCCTAGCAAGAGCCAACATTCCAAGCTTCTAGAGAAGCGCTCAGGGTTGCCCTCCACTGCTGGGGCATAGAGAGAATGAGGCGGGGTACAGGACTGCTGTGCGAGCTTGCTGGGGTCCTCTGGCTGATGGTTTTTGAGACCAGCACAGGGAAGGGCAGACCGGGGTGGGAACAGCAGAGTGGGCACATCTGCTCTGCTAATTCTGTTTCCCTGGCAGTTTGGGGCTGGACGAGGTTCTGCTGGATTCAGCCGGAGAGCAAACAGCCGAGGAGCGCTGAGAGAAATCAATAGCCCTTGAGTGGGAAGTAGCGCCTGTTCTTCCAGGCCAGGGCCTGCGGGGTAAATGAAGGGGCTGTGTGTACCAAAGCAGAAGTTCCATTAAAGGCAGAGTCCTGGGAGGCTCTCACAGCTCGCTGGCATCTTCTGAGCACTATCGCTTAGAAAATGTTCCCGTCTCCACTCTGCTTTGCAGACATCCCGTGCACGCTGCTGTTGCTTGTGCAACAACGACAGCACCAGCAAAGCCCCCCATACAAATGAAATCCTCTGCAAATGCTGGTCTCCATCGTCTTGTTCTCACCACTGCTAATGTGCCTTTCCGGGCTATGCCAGGCCACTTGTGCTGGGCTCTAGAATCTGGAGGTCAATCCCAGCTCACAGCCCTCTTGGACCCTTCTGCCTTCGCCCCTGGACTGGACCGCCATGCCTCCAGCGGGATGGCCCAGCTTCCCATGTGGAGGGTGCGGGAGCCCTGGGTGGGCACCCACAGCAGATGGCTGGCAGGAAAGGCAGCTCCTGAGCACCTACTGGGCGCCAAACAGGCAGGCAGTGGGTGGGGAGTTGTAGTGTGGAAGCATGTGCAGGGTCAGGAAGCATTAGCAGTCCCTCCCTGGTACACAGGGCTCTCTGCCTTTGGAGCTGTCACCTCCTGTGTTCCTCCCAACAACCCGGTGAGGCAGGCGGGCAGGCTGAGCAGGGGACTGCACCCCAGGTGACAGATGAGGAAAGCGAGGCTCAGGGAGAAGTGACTTACCTGTGGCGTCGCAGTTAGGCAGTAGTGGAGCAGGCACCTGCCTCCAGGCCTTCGGATCCCAGCCGCCCCAGGGCGCTGCCTCTGAGGTGCTGTACGAGGAGGTGACTCTGGCCAGCTCATGAGCAAAGGAGCTGCCGGGCAGGAAGGCCTCACTCCCCAGGGCCTGGCAGGATGGGGGCTGTCGCCCGAGGCTGACCTGGGGGGGCCTGGCTTCCCCAAGCTTGCAGGCTTTGTCTACATGAGTCTACAACAACCGATTGAACAATCCATCAGCTGCTTGGCCGCGAAATGGTTCTGACTGATCTTGTCACTGCCCTCAACACCTAGTGGGGTCGTTGGGGTGTTGCGGTTCTATGCACCAACTGATTTGGGGAAGCAAAACTAAACAGCTTTGTGGTCTAGCTTGTCTTGGGCCACGGACTCCTTAGAGAATCAGTTACAAACTATGGTCTCCCTTCTTGTGAAGTGCATTTTTAGTGTCTCCCCCTTCCCTGTGCCCCACTGCCATTCTATGTATGAGTTTAGGGGGTTTCTGGACCACTCAGTGCACATCCATGGATTTCACATGAAGAATTCCCTGTCTTGTTGAAAATGGGAGCCAAGCTAAGCTGGAAAGCCGGCAATGGCAATGACTTTGACCAATCTTTATTCCTTCTCATCCTGCTCCACTCCCACCCCTCCTGCCACAGAGACACAACTCTAAACTGGTTGTATGTGTGTGTGTGTGTGTGTGTGTGTGTGTGTACATGCTAAGGAATCTGCAAAACCAAACAGTGAAGTGCACACCTTCCACTGGCCAGGCTCTGAGCCGCAGCCTATGCTGCTTTTGACCCAGCTGGGCCTGGAGGTTTCAGGACTCCTGCGGGTGGGAGTTCCCTTTCTTTCCACTGTGCTCTTAGAAGACAGCATGGAACAGACTTTCTGCATGACCCAATTCTTTCAGCTGAGGCAATTAAAATGACCTCATACTTGATACCATTGTCAGCAAACACTTCGAAACCCAAATGAGCAGCTGCGTTAGCCTTGACCCTCTGAGGAGCACAAGTGCTTGGCAGCAGGGTGTCTGTGGGGACCAGGGACCAGGGAAAGCCTGCGTAACGAGAGGCTCTTCCTCCTTCTGCATGAAGCAGTGTTTTCACTCTCTTGTTTTCAGTACCTGAACTGTGAGGGATCGGCTGTGTCTATCAAACCCTGCAGTGGAGAAGCAAACACTCATCTCCTGAAGCTCAGCAAAACAGTGAATTCAGTGCAGCTCACTTCAATGAAGAAATACTAAGGCTCTGCCATGGCCAAGTCCTTCCAGCCGGTGATAGTGCAGTAGGTGTCTGCATACACTGTTTGAAATAGTAAGATTGCCACGGTTGAATTTGCTAAACATTTGCTATGCTCCAGGCACTAACTTAAGTGCTTTAAATACTTGTTCTCACTCAACTCTTATGAACAACTGTCTCTGAGGTCGGGGCTATTGCAGTCCTTATTTTACAGATGAGGACACTGAGTCCCAGAGGTTAACTAAGTTGCCCAAAGTCACACAGCTAGTTAGTAGCAGAGCAGGATGCAGGCCCAGGTTTGCCTCACTCCCGGACCCCCACGTAGTGTGTGAGTGATGGGTCATTAACCTGCCAGGTGGAAAACATGCTGGGAGGCGGAGAGACTCAGAAAAGTCCAGGCCAGGTGTTACTAGGGAGGCTGTAGACAGAGTTTTAAGAACAAATTATAAATATTTGAAGCTGGGAATGAGAAGACAACCTAACTCCTTGGAGAGTGTTAAGATAGCACACATAGATCCAAAGAAAAGAAACCCAAACAAAACCAACCGACATGAACTTTTCGTAGCAAGTGAACCCGAAATACTTGTGAAAAAGACCTCTTTGCCATTGCAATGGTATTTGTAGCAAGCAGAAAGGGCTCGGTGCCCTCCCTTGAGCGCAGCTCCTTAGTACAGAGCTGAGCTCACTGGCCGTGTAGCTTCACCTCCTCAGGCTATTTGTCCTTGGAGCAAGGTCATCTGGTAGAACATGAGCAGAAACGTGGCTTTCCACAGCTGACACTTCTTTATAGCCACATAGCCAGCTCTTTGATGATTCTGAACACAGTTTACTGCCACACTGGAGTTGAAAAAAACCCCAGTATGCAAATATCACTTGGGTTCTGATGACTCGCCTGCTCCATGACGACACTTTCTACAAGCCATGAATGGGGCTTATTTGTAGAGAATGAAAGCTTTTTAAGCTTTTTTAAGCTTTTGCTCAGGGATCCTTGGTAGCTTCATGTGACTTGGAAGATATTAGTGATGGGTCAAAAAGCAGGACCTCTCTTAGCATTAGCATACGCTTACAGTGCCTCAGTAGTCCATGAGGCAGAAAAAACTACAGATGGCACATGAAAATGACCAGGGGTGGAAGATCCCCCAACAGAGTGGGCAGCCCTATTTTAGCAGCATCGCTCTGAGTGGGCCTGGAGCACTTGCCCAAGTGGAGCAGGCCCTGTGTAGACCGATGCTATCCCCGATTCAAAACCAAGACATGGAGCAAAAGGGAGGACATCCTGTAAGTGCCTATTTCAAACACAGAGATGGATTTGCTTTATGTTTGGAAACCTCTAGAACTGAAACTAGTCCTACCAATATTTCCTTGGGCTACACTTGGCAGGTGTGTGGCACGCAGCTGATTTTCCTAATTGAAAGGCAGCAAACACATGCAAATCAGCTGTAAAAGCTCCCAGTCAGAGTCATGACGAAATGTCATCTCTTTAGCTGATGGCAACTAGCTCAAAGTCACAGAATAAGTAAGAGGCAGAGCTAAACCTAGGCTTGACTTTAAAAATGCAGGCCTTTAATCACAAATAATAAAATATGCTTCAAGATGAAGTGATGTTCAAAGCGTAACACCCAGACTTATGCAGACGCCCAATCCCAGGTCCCCCTCCAGCCTCCACGTCCTCAGCATCTCCTTGCTGGGTACAGTAAGCACAGCTCCGAAGGAGCCATCCAAGTAACTGTCATATCCAAGCAACCAAGGAAGGGAGAGGCAGGATTTCCTCTGGAGGTTTCCGGATCTGGACAGCAGATTTAATGCATGCACCTAAATTCATTCCGTCCCAAAGCCCCATTATAACTACATTAAAAGGCTTTTTTTTAAAAGACAAAATTCCATTAGAATAGGGAACATAAGAGAGGAGATAACAGAAGCAGAATTTATGAATCTAAAAAAGTAGGTAAACCTAACTGGGCCTGGTGGAGCATGCCTGTAGTGCCAGGTACTCAGAAGGCTGAGGCAGGAGGATTCCTTGAGCCCAAGAGTTCAAAGCTAGCCTGGACACACAGTGAGACCTGATCTGAAAGAAGGGAAAGAAGGAAAGAAAAGAAAAGAAAATGTCGGGGACTGCAGACTTAGCTCAGTGGCTCAAGTGCTTGTCTGGTAAGCACAAGGTTGTGAGTTCGATCCTCAGTTCCAAAGAAAGAAAGAAAGAAAGAAAGAAAGAAAGAAAGATAAAAAGTAGATAGACCAGGGTTAGCTGCATCCTCAGCCCCCAGGAAGCTGAATCAGAAGATGGAGGAAGGGAAAGTTCAAAAGCAACTTGGTCTGCAGGGCAGGATCTTCATCACACTCAGAACAGGAGCCGCAGATCATCTCTGAAACTTGAGGGTGAAGAGGAGTTGTGGGGTGGTCAGTGTGACAGGGGTTGGCCGGGGCTGGTTAAGAAGCAGTCAGAACTGTGGATCCCTTGTCATCTCCATGTCCTCTCCCTCACTGGACAGAGCACGGCCTTGACCCTTTGCTGGCCTTCATTGGCTGAAGCCTTTCACTTCACCCCATGGACACACTCCCCACTGACTTACACGGGGTTGTCAAAATATACTATGAGTGTTTAATTTTAAAGATTTGATTACAGTAACAGATGTAGTCTTGTTAATATCCCCCACAACAAGACCCCTTGCTTTGAACACACTTCTCCCGTCCTTCTTGCCACTCTCTGAAGCAGTCTGGGAGTGCTCTTTCATGGCTGTCTTTGCCAGGTATCATAAAAACTACAGTGAATGCTGCTGCTGAGTGTCATTCACAGGAAGGACAGGCTCATAAAAAAAATGACAAAGTGTCCTCATCCACTTTATTCACTGGATCTGGCACTGAGCGACTTCTGGCTCTTCCCTAAAATCAAAATGACCATGAAAGGTCAATTGATTCAGGTCACTGAGGCAAATGCAACAGAATAACTAAGAACACTCTGGAAAGAGCAGTTCAGACCACGTTAGAAAGTGGCAAGAATGAGAGGGTGTGTTCAAAGCGAGGAGGAGGATTGTGAGGGGACTGATGGTCACGTGTCTTTTACTGTAATGCATTTTTAAAAGCTTAAACATTTAGCCTTTTATTGGGGAGACTGTTCATACTTAGGAAGCAAAGGTAGTGGAGGCCGACTGGCCCTGACTGCTGCATGATGGTGGATGGTGGAGGATGCAGGTCCATTGCAAGTTTAGCTCTAGACACCCCTAGGAGGGAAGCTAGGGGCATCTCAGAAAGCCTTCAGCTTGTATTTCATACATCTAGACTGTGCTTGCCGCTGAGTTTTTTCAAAACAAAGCAACTACGTGTGTGAGTTCATTCATTAATGGTGAAACTAACTAGAAAAGAAAGAGAGCAGTTATCTTAGCATGAGCATGGCTACCTGTGTGGGGAAGGGACCGAGGTGTGGAAGGCTGCGCACATTTCTACCTGGCAGTTGTCAACATTCTACTTCTCATCTTCCTGAAAGAGCAGAAGTCATGATATCACCGTGAGCCAGGCACATCCATGTTCATAGCAGTTCAATTCATAATAGCTAAATCTTCCAAATGGCCTGTATGTCCATCCACTGATGAATGCATACAGAAAATGTGCTGTTTATAAACAATATGGTGCTACTCTGCCATAAAGAGGAATAAACTTGAGGCAGTTACTAGGTAAATGGATGCACCTTGAGACCATAATGTTCAGTGAAACAGACACACAAGCTTAAATGTGTCATAGTTTCTCTTAGAAACACAAAATAGAAATAAAGAGCAAAATAAAATATAGATAATAGGAAGTAGGGAGATCTTTTTTCACCTGGGAAGGAGCGCAAGAGATGGTGGGAGGGGAGGGAAAGAGAACAGAAAAAGAGAATTGGAAAATAAAGAGTAAATAGAGCTTTTGTGAATGGGAAGGGGACCCAGAGTTGGGAGGGATGGGTAGGGGACACAAAGAATTACGGTGTGTGATGTACACGTGATAGATGTACTCATGATGTACTGCAAATATGGACTAATGAAAAATAAAAAGCTAAGTAAAACAACCCAAAACCCATTATATTTCTCAATCTGATCAAGGTAACACAGGTTTTCACTTTTCACTTCTTTGTTACAATGTACATGTAGACCTTCTAGCCTTGTCCCTGTTCATGTCGTTTTCTAGTAAAGGGGAAAAGCTATGTACACTGGCTGATACCAGCAATGTGAACCATACATTTTGGTGTAGAGGAAATTAATGAAATACCATATTCTAACTTGTTAACAGTAGTTATCCCTGAGTTATTTATATATTCGAATTGATGTATTTTATTATGCCATCAGGTTTGTGTCTTCTGACAACTTTCCAAAACAGAAAGTCATAAACTGTATTCAAAAGACAAGGTCCTCATGTACATTTGAAACTAAGCGGCTGAGACAAGCCATCATCTGTGGCAGTCTACATACATGATAACTCCTAAAAAAACTGATGATGCATGTAGATTGACAAGGGTCAGCACTTGGAAGTTACTGTAGGTGTCATTTCTTGGAAGAGGGGAGAGGCTCTGGGGCTTCTAAGGTATCTTGAATAACTCACCTGTCGGTGCTGGATTTATTATTCTATGTGTTATCTTTTAGTCTTACCTTTTTCTACCTGGCTCCTCTCCTCCTCTCATCTTCCGCCTTCTCATTTGGACTGATCCTGTCTCCTTGGGGGCTAACTCCTTTCCCTACTTCTCAAACACTTCTAGAACTTAGGAGAAACTAGAGCTCACTTATTCAAGTTAGCATTCTTTGTACATGAAAGAGATGTCCTATGGTTTGCCACAGATTCCCAAGCAAATTAAAGGCAGAGTCCAAGACTCAGAAAGGCCTCTAGAGAGCATCTATTGCTGCTGCGTGGCAAGGACTCAGCCTGCAGGCTTGGAGCTCTGTGATGCCATGCTCTGAGAAGCACCAGCTGCCTCTAACATTCTATTTGGTGGGTGGATGCTGCAGTGTGGCTACAGAGTGTCTCATGTGTTAGAGTCTTGGTTCTCAGCTTGGTGTTACTGGGAGGTGACAGAACCTTCAGGTACAATGGGAGGTTTAGATCACTGAGGATGTGACCTCATTGAGACTGTGGGATGCCTGTTTCTTCTCTTTTCTTTATCACAGCCAGCCATGAGATGAAAGGATGTCCAGCACCATACACTTCTCCATGATGTATCGTGTTGCCATAGGCCCATCAGGATGGGGTCAAATGGACCGGACCCTCCACAACTGTGAGCCAATATAAACCTCTTCTCCTATACTAAGGCACCTTTCTGAGACTCATTTATCCAAATGCAGCCACTTTCCCTGGCCTGAAATCCAAGAAGGGAGAAGGGTGGTGCTAGGGTATGTAGCTTTGACCCACAGTTTACTGAAAAAGAAATCCATAAGAAAAACAAGTGCCATGAAGGTGCGGAAAGAAAGTATTCCATACAGAGCTGGTCTCTTTCAACTTCTTTTTGGTTCTCACTGAGAGGAACAGGGAACATTGCATTTTTGAGCTCAAAAGGCAAGGTTGGGAAAGACACTGCAGCTCCCTAGGCCTAGCTCCTGCAAACAGACTGCAGTCTCTGTTGGACCACTTCAGAGTGGAGTTTGGGAGAGGACATAGATGCTTTTGAGGATCACATTAGCAATAAGGGATCAGACTGGGGGAGGTGAAAGATCCTTGATGGTGGACTAGATTGGAGGCGTGGTAGCCCAATAGTGGGCCTCTTATTTCGGTAGCTCCAATCCAAAGGCTATGGGAACCCTTTCAAGGTACAGCAACAGGCATTCTGTCCCCCATTATCTAGCCACTAGGAAGGCAAAGCCCTAATCCAAACTGGGAAACCTCCATCGTGACCCAGTGAGGTCTCTGCTATATATACCTAGAAGAAGCTAGACTGAACAGATCTCAGCACAGTTCCATCTGAGATCCCTAGGTCTGAGGCACAAAACTGGACTGCATCCTGGCTCCACTGCATCTCTCCCTTTAACTCTCTGAAGCTTCTATTCCTTTCTCTGGTTCCATTAGGAACCAAGAGCTCTCACTGAGCCAGGCTCTGCCAGAGGGCAAGCCAGCTCTGTTGCCAGCTTCTTGCAGATCAAGGAAGAGTATCATTCCTGCTTCCTCCCAACACCCTCCACCTCCTGGGCATTTGGGAGGTGGTTTCCCTGGTATTTATTGCTTTATTATGGTCCTCTAGTCCTCGCATAGATATTCTACTCCTTAGCATTATGTAAATGGCTACTTAACCCAGATTACATTGGGGTCAACAGCCTGAGCTCTGAGACTTGTCACATACTGGTACAGGAGAGGGGCCTCTCTCCCCAAGAAGTTGGAGGGCATTCCCACGTGCTGAGAGCAAAATTTTCAGCTTTGGGCTTGGCAGTAGGTGTTCTGAGAACCATTACAACCAGCTTAATCTGGCTGAGCCCGTCAATGGAGGGAGCAGTGAGAGAGAAAGCAGACCTGAGGTCGAGGATTAGCTGCCTTGTAGTTGGCGGCTGTGTGACATAAAGCGGGTAGCATTACCTCATAAGCCTCAGGTTCCTCATCTAGAAAGTGGGTACAACAACAGAGCCCACTGCATGAGGCTGGTAAGTCAGGATGAAAGGACAAAAAGAAAACCCTCACTACAAGGCCCAGGGCAGTATCTGCAAGGACTGGTTTCATCCTCCACCTCTATGCTCAGTAATATAAAGATCTCTGACCTGGAAGTCACGTGACCTGAGTTTCAAAATGGACTTTACCATTAGCTGTGTGAACCTGAGAAAAAATCCCTTTCCCTTTTGCATTATTGAGAAAAACATGTGCCTCTTTGTCCGTTATTCTGTTAATATTGTGTGGTACATTGATTGATATTTATAGGTTGAACCAGCCCTGCATTCCTGGGATAAATCCCACTTAATCAAAGTGTATAATACTTTTTATATGTGTCTGGATTCCCTTTTTAGGCCCATGTTTTTCTAGCTATAAAATTATATAGTTGAGCTAGACAATGTTTGAAGGTCTTTTTCAATATTCATGATCTCGGATCCTGTGACTAATACAATTAAGAAATAGTAATTATTAGGTGTCAAACAGAGTCCTCATAGGGTAATTAAGAATTAGTACAATTGGCTATGTCTCAAATAACTTGAACTTCTCTAGTGTGCCCCATCTCTAAGGCCTGATAATCTTTAGATGATGAGGATGAAAACTAAAGCCTACCAGCTTTAAACTTCTTCCAAAAGTATATAGTTTTATTTTTCCACAACTGGCATCAGAAAGGGACTCAAACAAATGAGGCAGGGTGGTAGATAAAACCAACAATTCGAACAGTGAGGGAAGAAACAACAAAGAAACAGATTCTAGCTAGATACCAGTCAAGCCATCCAAGGCTTTGCTTTCCAAAGTTGTCAGTCTAATTTACCCTCTGTCCCGTAGCTATCTACAGTCTGCCAGGGACTCAAAGAGCAGCCGTAACTGCCAAAGGAAGGGTGTGGCAGCCATGCCAGTGGCTACACGGATCTCCTACCATGGACAATAGAACTGATTGGCAACCTCCAGCAGATACCACTCTGGACCCACCACTGTCCTCACATTTGGTCTTGGCTGCACTCCCAACCAATGTCTGAACACAGTAAGCATAGTTATGCAGGCTTATTCTTATGAGGTGCACGACCCCTCTGATGGGTGACATTGGCGCAAAGGCTCTCCACGGGCCTGGCTGAGCTGTTCTAAGAACTGTACTGTGACCTGAGACTTTTTACCCAAACTTTCTTCTGTTCCCCATTTGGCAAAGGCCACCTACACTGTGGTCTGAGGCTCCTTCCCCCTTCTGTTATGCTTCACAGGTGTTTCTCCCAATACAGTTTTGAAGGTCAAATCCCATAATGTTGTCTACCTTTTGGCAGGCCCACATTAATGCCAAGGAGCGCCTAGCTACCTAGCTTTATTTCTGTCCAAAATGCAGAGGGAACCTTTTTCTTCTCACCAGGCCCACTTTCCTAGTATAAATGACCATGGTAAGTACTATGGTTTAATGATTATACACCCCCAACACTTGGGAAATTCACATGGTGACACCTAATCCTCATCTAGGTGGCACAAGATGGCAACTCAATAAGGGCATCTGATAATCTCTCCTCATAGATACACAGCCATGAACAGTCATTCATGCAGCAAACTGCCAGCACAAGAGCTAAGGAAATCAGATGTGAGACCATAATGCTTGATTTTAGTACAACAAAGCCAAAAAGATGTATTGAAGAAGGCAGGAAAGAAAGAGTTGCTGTGTCACCCCCTTCTGCAACTCTAAGCAGCCCAGCCCAGAGAGAGGTACTTTCTGCTGGAGAGAAGGACAGAGAATGATTTCAAGCCTTAGACTTGAAACCCATTACCAGGCCTGGCATGGCAAAACCCAGGTCTGGACAAAGCCCCATGGCCTCTGCTGCTACAAGGCTTTGTCCTGGAACCCAGTGCAAGGCAGATCCTAACTACCCCCATCCCCAGTCCTGCCCGTAGACAGAGGCATCGCACAGCTCCAGCACCAGGAGAAGTCTATCAGTCTTCTACTCCATCTAGCACCACCTGGGCTGCTTGCAATGGTTTTAAGAAACAAGTTCATCTTAGTAACAGGCAGGCCATACCGGTGTGGGCATTGGTCCCATCCTAATGTTGTGCTGGCCTTGGCAGTTTGTAGGCTTAGGATGTGACACAACATGGTAGTATTGGTGGTGCTGCGCATGTGACACACATGGTGCTGCACATGGTGGCTGCACATGTGACATAAGAACTCAGGGTTGTTCTGACTCTGCCCAGAGCTGAGCAGAACTCTGTAGTGTCCGACCACAGGCCAATAACTCTGATGAGGGATTTGGGCCTGCCTTGTCTTTAGGGGGAGGCTTGTGGGTTCAGATTGCTCTTTCTAGATAGTCTCTCATTTCTTTTGGAACAATACACCAATAGTATATTTAGGACTAATGTGGGCTTGAGTTGCTATTTGATATTGAAAAGGTGACAACACATCAACAGCAGATTCCCAGAAATTCTAGGCCTAGGAACTACTTAATACTGAAATAATGGCTCAGAGAAAATAAGCAGTGTTCTTAGAATTTCTGGAAGGACAAGAAGGTGCAAAGAAGATTAGGAACCCTGGAAAAAATACCTAATTTTTCAATGCTCAAATGACATTGAGTGTCAACAAGCACCAGGAGCTTTCAGGAATCTATTACCTAACTAATATTTAAAATAACATTCCAGAAACTGACCAAGTGGTAATCAGTATGGAAAAATGCTCAGTCAATTTAAAACAATTGTTTAAAGGAAACTTAATGAATTTGAAGAAAACACAAATAAACATTTTAATGGTCTACCAAAAAACTTAACAAAGAGTCAGATACAATTTAGAAAATGACACAAAAAACCTTGAGCTGAACATTGTACTCAGACAAATTAAAAATGTGATCAAAGGGATACATAGGAGCGATCACATGGAAGAAAGAATTTGTGAGTTGGAAGACAGGCTATTTGAAAATGTACCGCAAGGTCCTAAGTTTGATTCCTGGTATCAAAAAAAAAAAAAAAAAAAAAAAAAAAGAGAACATATATTGCTGGATGGATGGCTTCTGTTTACAAGCCTCATGCAGTCATAGGTTCGCTTTTTCAGAGGCAGGATCTAAATGTGTGTTTGATTCACGGTGCAATGCTGGGCGATTACTAAATTGGTCCACTGATGGGTTTAGCATTCTCCTATTCCCAGTAGTCTGAATAAGATAAAAGGGGAAGAAAGACACTGCAGTCCCCTCTCTTGTCATTTTTGCTACCTTGTGGGCACCATGAGCTGCTCTCCTCTGTGAAGCCCCTCTGCCGTGTGCCACCTTGCCTTGGAGCTACCCAAGTATGGACTGAGACTTCTATAAACTGTGAGCTAAGTACACCTTAATCCTCTAACTTTGGGTGTTGGATATTTTGTCTCAGCAAGGAGCAAAGTAACTAAGACAGAGGAGAATGAAAAAAGAGAGTAAAGAGAAACAGAGAATGCTTACAGGAACTTTGTGACAGTATTAAAAGAGCAAATATTTGTGTTGGTTTTCAAGAAACACTTGAGGATTCTCAAGGAGTAGAAAATTTATTTGGAGAAATAACAAAAGAAGCCAGGGGTTGTGGCACATGCCTGTAATCCTATCTACTCAGTAGGCTGAGGCAGGAGGACTGCAAATGTAAGGGCAGCTGGGACAATTTAGCATAGATTTTGTCTCAAAATACAATTTAAAAAAGGGTTGAAGATTAACTCAG